CCTGTGATAAACCCTGTAATAACACCTGTGATAACCCCTGTAATAACACCTGTGATAACCCCTGTAATAACACCTGTGATAACCCCTGTAGTAACACCTGTGATAACCCCTGTAATAAACCCTGTAGTAACACCTGTGATAACCCCTGTAATAAACCCTGTAATAACACCTGTGATAACCCCTGTAGTAACACCTGTGATAACCCCTGTAATAACCCCTGTAATAACACCTGTGATAATCCCTGTGATAACCCCTGTAATAACACCTGTGATAAACCCTGTAATAACACCTGTGATAACCCCTGTAATAACGCCTGTAATAACACCTGTGATAAACCCTGTAATAACACCTGTAATAACCCATTAGAACTGATGTCTGATGTTTATAACAATCAGTGATTCTGAGAGAGCAGAACCAATCAGAACCAACTAAGTCAGAGTTGATTAAACTCAAGCAGTGAATCAATACAAGCTGCCAGCAGATAACGTCACATTAACATCTTCATTATGCAGAAACAAACAGTGTCCTGCATCAGCTGGATAGTCTCCACCCGCCACAACAAATCCATTTAAATGCAAATCCAACGCGCCTCCAGAGTCAGAGTCCAGGTGAAACTCCTCTACAGATCTACAGTTTGTCTGAGGAAACAAAAAAGAAGTTCCATCAGGAAAAACTGGTTCCTGTTTGTGATGAAAACACTGAGTGTCATGTTGCTACAGAAGATTAAAGATTTAAAACATTAACTTCATCTAAATAAACTGGTTTATGGTCAGATTCTGTCAGACAGACAGTTTCCTCTGATGGGTTTATTTCTGCTCAACAAATAAAAGAATCAATMAATCTCAGGACTGTATTAAACTCAGCAGATTTGATTTGGTCACTCTAAGTAAACAACAACACCACAGATAATAACCCCTGGTATCATTTCATCCAACTGTTTCCTGTCACTTCAACTCACTGTCATCCACCCAGCATGGAGGCTTTTATTCTGAAGGCAAGTGGAAACTGTCAGATTMTTTATATTATTTTTAACAGCTGGTGAAGTTCTGACTCGTGTCTCATTTATTCCTGAACATTGATTTTGTTGTTTTGTTTGTGATGAAATGTTTGATATAAAATGCTTGGAGACAGATACTGCAGCTTGCAGCTGGAGGCTCATTAGCATTCGGCTGCAGACCTGTCAGTGTTGAAGTGATAAATGAAGTTTCAGCTGTTTGTCTGTGCTGAAGCTGAAGCTGAAGCTGAGGAGGAATGTGGCTCCAGGCCCTGATGAAAACAGCCTCAGGAAGGTCAGAGAGYGTCTGAAAGCAGAACTCAGGAGATTTATGATCATCAGCTCTGCTCTGCTAACAGCAGGTCATAAAGCAGCAGATCTGAAGCTGAGCTCAAACACACAAACATGTCACTGAGCAGCTTCACTGCACACAAACCATACGCTTTATTTTCATTCATTTTACTCACTTATTCTACAGCTTTAAAAATACAGTACATGTAAAATCAACATTTAAAGACTTG